TTTTATAATTGGAAGCAGGCTTTCACAAATTTAATACCTGCACGTTGATCGTATTATTCTGTGCTTGCAGTTATTTTTTGCATAAGTGACTTTCGTCCTGCAGTAAATCACATTGTGGGTGAAAATTGATTGATTTCCATTGATGCCACTCTGTATTTTGTATCTCAAGGCAGAAACACCCTAAAATTCATATATAGGAATAAAAAAGGCAAAAAAAAAAACCGAGTGCAGAAGGACAGAAAACACTCAGAACATGGACTGTAAAGTGTGAACTATAGTTATTATTATTATTGCACATATTTAATGTTCATGAAATAAGATTGCTTTATTTTTTGGAATTTATTTTAATGATAAATGGGATTCTGGATACAAAAAGTTTGAGATCTGCTCAGCGTTTAGAGATGTTTTAGGGATGTAGCCTTGCCTCATCACTGACTGTGTATATAATGCAGGGTAAATCTCATCTGCGTGATGGATGGCTCGCTGTCAGGGGCTCTTCTCTGCTCTTTCTGCTCCATCTCGCCTCCTCGTTTTTCCTTCCTTGTCTTATTTTAAAAGAAAAAGCGCAAAAGCCATCGTCATCGGAAGAACAGCAAGCGACACAGGAGCAGGGTGTGAAAGTAACAGCTATTTTACAGACTTTGGAATGTGTGTTGGGAGGAGAAAAGAAAATAAGGGTTGTGACAAGGTTCCACTCTCTGTTTCTGCTTTTCACACCCAGCATCTGCAGATAGCAGAAAAGCGGGAGTGCGTTGGAAAAAAATAGAGGAGCCTGGGGACATTCAAGAGATGTAGTGTGTGTGTGTGTGTGTGTGTGTGTGTGTGTGTGAGGAACTAAGAGAAAGTACTATTACTCATGTGTTTTGTCTGCATGTGTATGTTGATCCACTCTGTTCACATAAAGCGTGTTGAAGAGATGTAAATGAAGGGAAAGACAAATCGAGGAACAATAAGAATGGACCACTTTTAGAAAAGTGTACAGCTGTACAGGATTTCACAAACACTGGATTGGATTATCTTTTGTGTGGTTAAAAAAAAAAAGGTGTAAGGGAAAAAGCCAGAACAGTCTTAGATAGATAGTAAGAAAGTAAACGTGTGTGTGTGTGTGTGTGTGTTTGTGTGTGTCTGTGTGTCTGTGTGTCTGTCTGTCAGTAAGAGAAAACTGTGAATAAGCCATTCAGTGTATTAAATGCTCCATTATGCTCCTTTGTAATGCTGCTGTGCATCAAAGAAAATCAATAATCACACATTAACATAAGCTTGACTTATTTATTTATTTATTTATTTATTTATTTTCATTTCCTGTGGCCAAATGTCTGGTGTATGCCTAGTAAATATTGTTAGTGGATGTGAATGATATACTTGTTCAATGTCGGCTAGGCATCCATAGACTTTATTTCACATATATTACAGTACCACAAACACACACATTTTCCATTTACCTTGGAGATTTGAAATGATTGACAGTTGCGTAGGTGTTTTCAGCTCTCTGATATTAACAGATCCCTAGGAAGAATGTCTTGTTTGAGAAATGTAATATGAACTGTATTAGTTTTTAATATTTATTTTTTTTTATATCGTAATGGTAGTGCATGTAGCACTGGCAGTACGAGTACTCGTATGGTATATCAGGATCAGCCATGTTGCTGTGGTTTCTACAGACATGAGAGTGGTCCTGTCTGCAAAAAAAAAAAAAAAAAATGCAGCTAGGTTCTTAAACCTGGTCCTGGAGTACGGACTACTCCCTGTACTTTAGATCAGCCAGTCAGCCGACCAGTAGTTCAACCAAACATCCACTGCTGTAAATACCATGGCCAAACTGCAGTAAAATCTCCTTCCTCCCCCTGCATGTCGTTTCTCTTCTCATACTCTGCCTCTAACCAGTAAAAGAAGATGTTGATAAATGTGATCAATGTTACCTCTGATTGCGCTTTCAAAGAACCAGCGGGAGTCATTTAGGAAAATAAAGCGAGGGATTTTAAACAGCGAGACATCGACTTCTGAGAGTGGAGCCTGAGGCTGGAGCTTGCGAGGGAGTGCATGCATGCTTTATTATGAATATTTTTCCAAGAATCAGAGCTGAAAAAAGTCTGTACAGCCAAGAACATAGACCGGGTAATCAGGAAAAAATAATCCCAGTCATTGTGGTAAAACCTCTGCAAAAGGAATGATTTCACACCACAGACAAAAGGAATAATACATTGTATTGTGAAAGAGTAAAAAAAAAAAAAAAAAACATATAATTCACAGGTTGGCCTAAGTGGAATAAAAGGAGGTGTGGAATAATTCTATAGAGTCGGCTTATTGCTCAGAGCTTTCATTTCGTAATGAAAGAACGTTGACTTTCCCTCACTGAAATTACAGTTCTGTTAGGTACACTGTAGTAGGGCTCTATTTACATATTTTATTAACATATAATCGACTCACACCTAACATAACGAAAGAAACTGTGATGTTTCTTTCCAGTCATCTCTGCAGTGGTGAATGGTCTCTTGTGAAGGTTGTGAGTTACCAATTCCCAGGACTGCTAGAGAAACACTGCCGGGCTTCGACTACTCAGTTTTATTCCTGGATAATATTCTGCCTTATTTTTGGATAAATTGGACAAAATTGCCAAAGTGAACAAATGTAAACACCAATGATCAGCTGTTGGTGTATAATAAATTAATATATAATAATTAGTATATAATAAATCTTAACTGTATATCTGATGTCTATAATGCAGCCAACCCCGATGAGTCTTTTTTTTATTTTTTAAACAGATCTTTAATAGATCTTTAATAAATCTGCCGTGTGCAATCCCAGTGGCTGGGGGTGGTTCCCTGGCCGGGAATCGAACCTGTGAGAGTGCCAAGGCCTAACCACTATTCCTCCAGGGACCCTAAGTGGAAGATACAGATAGCCTGATAGATTTTAGTTCATATTAAAGGACTTAAAACGGTCTTTATTTACCTGGGTAGAAAAAATAATCAAACTAAATGTTTCTACATTAAAAAAATTACTATAAAGAGCAGTAAACAGAAATAAATGAAACAAAGTCAATATTTGGTGTGACGATCCTTCACTTTAAAAAAAAAAATAGTACTCTCAGGTACTGTGTGTGCAGTTGTATTAGGAAATGAGCTGTAAGTGTTACTGAGCATCTTGCAGAAGCAGCCACAGTTCTTCTGGAGACTTTGACTGTCACACTTGCTTCTTATTTTTGCAGCGAAACCCAGCAGCCTTCATTATGTAATTTTTGTCTGAAAAGTGTCTCTTATGGAATCTGCTGCTTTCTTTACTGACATACAAACAGTTTTCTGTAATTTATTTTTGTGCTGGAAAACTAATGTTTGGAAATCTAAAATGTTTTTGTACTGAATCAATAATGTAGAAGTCATAAAATACAAATCTATAACAAAGTTTGTACTTAAAAAATAGGGTGCCTAAGACTTTTGCACAGTACTGTATATACAGTATATACTATATATACATATACCTATATAAAATATATATATCTGTTTCAATGCAGTGTTTGCTTTTATTTATACTCTCTATAATTAGAGCTATATTAGGCTATAATATGTAAAAGGGGGTCATGGAACTCTTGAGCAGGAACGTAAAAATATCGCTCCTGTTCAGAACGAGCCAAAATGATAAATAAATCATTTCTAATCACTGGTTTTCAAGCATAAAAATCGAGTTGAGACAAGAGCACCAGTCAAAAGATTACTAAAGTGAGATGGGGGACGGGGGCGGGGCTTCCAGTGACACCTACACAACTGTCAGTGTTTCCAGATTCATATGTCGATTGGATCATCTGCCTTTTTTTCTTTTTTTTCCACTGCACTTTTGCCATATTTTTAGCATACTCTGTGTAAAGGTTGGCAAGTCTGATAAAATGTCTTCTTCATCATTTCTGGTCCTGCAATGCAGAATTGTAGTAATTCGTCATCTCGTCTCTGTGTACTTCTTATTTGTTCCTCTCACTTGTGTAGCCTCTGGGTGTACATTATTTTGGCTCTGGAAATAATATACAGTAGAAGACATGCTGTACTAAATCACTTGTAAAAGAATTATTTAACACACAGTTAGTTTTATACTTTGTCGGGAAAACTCAGATGTGGTGTTGTTTTGCAGTGTTTATGATCTGAAACTGGAATATTTAGTCAATGCTAAAAGAGATTTCGGAAATTTACCCACACAGGTTTCCAGTAAGAAAACATTCTCCGCTTCCCTTGATATATATTAAAACAAAAATGGCTTCCAAATAGCATGCCACTGATTGCAGTGCGTTTGAAAACAGCCATGTAGAGACGTATATTGCTATATTAATATTTTTTAAAATGATAATTTTTATTATTACTCAATCAGCAATGGAGCAAAATAATAATGACATAAAAATATAGAACAAAAATTCGAACAAAAAAATCAACAATGAAAGAACCTATTAGCCATGAAGATTCTTAATACCACCCCCCAAAAAAACACCACAATGCACCTAATTTAATTCTTAAAATTTAAAATTTAGGCTAGTTCCATGCGAAATGTCGAACATATAGCCTTGTGATGTGCCACCTTACCCTCCCCAGTGCACTTTTTCTGTCTTTTTATTCTTCTCGTCTAAAGTTAATAATGCAAGACATTACTATGATAATCCTTTATTACTGTCAGGGATATTGATCTCGATTAATTCACCAAAGGACCATTGAAAGTGATTCTTCTCAGGAAACACAGCAGGCCGTATGTGTGCCTTCATGAAATTATACGAAATTATATTTATTACATTTCTAGATTAATGGGAGTTCATTACATTACGTACCTAGATATGACATAAAACTATAGAGCTGATAAAAGTGTCATATGCTTTAATCATAAATTTCTAATACACTTGTTATATCACTAGACTAATAAATCTTTTGCTCTAGCTTTGTAAGGACAAATGAGACAATGTAAAGCTCTACGAATAAACTGATACTAATTCTTTTATTGGAACATCACTGTAGACATCAGCTTTACGTTCCATGCAGGTCTAGTGGTTAGGCCACAGTGCTCTCACCGCTGTGGCCTGGGTTCGATTCTCAACCAGGGGTAGATCAGTGCTAAGTCCCAAGCCCGGATAAAATTGGGGAGGGTTGCGTCAGGAAGGGCATCCAGCATAAAAACTATACCAAATAAAATATTCGGCCCACTGATCCGCTGTGGCGACCCCTAAAGGGAGCAGCCGTAAGAGGAAAAACAACAACTGTAGACATCAGCTTTAACCAAAACAGCGGTAAAGTAATTACAATGTTTAAGCAGGATAATATGAGGGTATTACCTCCATCAATCCTAACACCCTTTTCCCTGAGCTGCTTTAGCGTTGCTGGAAATCATAAAATTGCCCCAGGCTCTTCCTACATGTTTTCTTGATTGCTGCACCAGTGATCTTTATGTCTGTATTTACTGGAACATCAAAAATATACAGGTGTAGAAATAAAAGGAAAGTGAAGACTCTTTCGGCATAACGTTCCCAAGCAAACGTTTAATGAAGGGAGTATTAATAAAGAAGTAAAGGTTTTCAGGGCATGCTGTTAAAGGAAAGTAATCAACAACGGGCTGGTGTTGTTTTCCTATAACTGCACATTCTTTGAAACCCAACAGCCATTCACATTATTAAAAAACACCCCGTAGAAATATCCTCTGCAGATAAACTATCTGAAGCTGACTGAAGCATGGCGATGTGAGAAAAAGGTTTAACTGCATTCATACGGTGTTTATCTGCAGAGAAAAAGATAACAGTATAGCTAAAGGCTAAAGGGAAGAACTGAGGCCTTGTTATTCAGCTTTTCATACACTGAGTGTACTAATAATTGTATAATTGGGTTAGTGCAGAGACATAAATGACATTTCGAATTTAGGGAAATTAACTCAGCGAGCTGATTTGTGTCTCACATAGCTAGTTCATTCACAGATGAGTAGGTCTTATAAACCTGTATCCCTGAATCCTTTCACCTGTTAGGATGGAAAATGCTAGATTAATAGAAACCTTTTGGTTTCTCATATATCTCATCTTGGTGTATTGGCTTTACCCCTTTTTGTCAGCTTCAAAATGGCTTGCTTTCCTCCCATAGACAGCTCTCTGGTCTTCATGTTGGTTTATCCTTTTTAACAACAGATGCAGTCTTCATAGGCGAAACCCAGGGTTCAAACCAAGAGCACACATTCAGAGCTATTAATTGTCCAAACAATCAATCTAAACAATCTAATCTGGGTAATAAGACACACCTGTCAGACAGATATTCCAATATTTTTGGCCACCTAGATGTAAATATCAGGAACCGAACACATCTAGATGTAAATGTCAGGAAATGAAAGCTGAAATTCTGATCTACTGTCTCATATTTATATTCTGATCTCAAACCCAAGTTTGGAAGTGTTTTTTTTTTTTTATTATCCCCAGTCTCTGCCTTTAATGGCTGAAACTAAACAAGCATTAACACATTCATTATAAGAACTCAAACAGACATGCATGAAACATCAAGCGTGCAACATTTAATATCAACCGTTAAATACCAGTGAGGCTGCTCTAAATGTCACTTATGGATTAACAATTATATACATAGCAGTATGATTATAATATGAATGTTCAGCATAATGTCCTAATTTGTCCTCATTTATATTTTTTACACTTGGATCGCTATGGTATTAATTTAGAATAAGTACTCAAAAGTAATATAATCGTCAGGTTCTAACGTGTGTATTTAATCATCTGTTTTCATCGGAGCTTCCATTACCTGCCTGCTTTTTCTTGTTTCCTTTGATTCAAACATGTAATTTGCACATTGTACTCAAAAGTCATTGCACTTACCACAGGTTTCCAAACTCTGCTGATCTGAATGAAACAAGTACCCCCAGCTGCATGATTTATACTCAAAAACCTTTTTATAAGTCCCTGATGTGTTTGCTTGAGCAGCGCACATGCTGAGACTGTCTGTGTGTTTCCTCTCGAGATGATCATCTGGAGCTGCGACCTCTTACAGTGACCATCTGTGCGCACACAAACGTCTCGTTGAATCACTGTCATTAGAAATGATTAATTAATTAAGTCATGCAATCCCTAACTGGAAGCATTCGCGTCCAATACGGGACATTTTTAAGGACGAAGAAGTAGCTGTATATTCAGTCTGCAGGATTTACACATCCAAAAAACACAACTGAGAAAACTAAGAAAACTGAAAACAAGTGATATTTCGGTACTGGTGCTGCCATTTTGGTTACATTCATGTTACTAGTTTGAAGTGACACAACTCAGATTTTTGTATGTGGTCCTAGATCAGATGCATATCCAATATTTGGCCACAAAACATGACAGAGAATGCTCAGAACGGATTTTTTATTTTTTTGTGCGTTATCATCATCTTCCAGCATAGTGTTGTTGATGTGTACATGTTTCAGGGAACAGGAGAATGTTCTCATTTAAGAAAGATATTGGTAGTTTGTGGTTACGAACATGAACGATCGAAATATAGATCTAATATGAGTAAAATATCAGGATTGTCATCATAATGTGAACATAATAATAACATAACGAACTTTATTCTTCCTGTCTCTATACTGGAGCTGACAAGTACAACATCGCTTACAAATTTATCATATTTTCAAGTTTGTTTATAGCCTCAGCTCTGGACTTCCTGGATAAAATGTGTCGATCAGTGCAGAAACAGAGAAAGCAGATCATCTGTCAACCTGAGGAGCGTAATCAAGCTCAGTGGCAGAGAGCTCATAGATACAGGAGACTTCCATAATGGTAAAAAAAAAAAGATTCACATAATAATTAGAGTATTACCAATGCATTTATGCCCAGATTTAATACACACACACACACACACACACACACACACACACACACACACACAC